CTCTCTCTCTCTCTCTCTGCGCCGCGCTCTTATAGGATCCTTTGCTCTCTGTTTAGAAATCGAAGGAAGTGACACTACACCTCTACAAACCGTTGGTCTGACCAATTTTGTTTATTGTAACTTGCTCAGAGGGCGTGAGCATCACTGACCAGGCCCAACATTTATTGCCCATCCCAGTGGGCAGCTAATGATTTCGGATATTGTGTTCAGTTCTGGGCACCTTATTTAAGAAAGGACATGAAAGATCTAGAGAGAGAGAGAGTGCAAAGATTAACTGGAATTTTAGCTGCATGGGAAGTTTGGAGACATTGGGCTTATACTCCTTGGAGCAGAGAAGATGAATAGGTGATCTTTTTGAGGTGTTTCTACAGGGTAAATTCTGCTTCCATTAATCGGTGAGGGTTCGCAGCTTCAAGCGTGCCAGAGAGAGAGCTAGGAGTGAGATGAGGAGAAACTCCTTTGCTCGGAGAGTTGGTAGGATTTGGAACGCGCTGCCCAGGAGAGTGGTGGGGGCTTGGATTGTGCAGGAGGTTTCAGAGTGAGCTGTACATACGTTTGTAAGCAACGAGTTTCGAGCGCTGCGGAGAGTGGGACGAGCTGGGCGGCTCTTTCAGGAGCCGGTACAGACACGGCGGGCAGAGTGGCCTCCCGTGACGCTCTGATTCTGTAAGTGCGACCATTCCCGACCTGACCCCCTGTTCCCAGTTGCGCCCCCCTTAGCCTCAACGACTTTGGAAAGCAGCCAAACAAAGCTTTTAGGGCGGTAAGTGCATCGCCCTGAGAGTCTCCAATCGATTCTCGGAGAGGATGGGTGGGGGGTTTGGTGGCGACGGTGGGGGTACTGTCTGGAAGTGGGATTCCCAGTGGTCCGCAATCCAGCCAGCGTAATTCCGATTTTGTCGCTATCTCTGCAACACACTTTTTTTTTTCCTCCCCCTCGGTGTGTTTATTCTTCAGAATTGTAGCCACCTGATCCAGACGATAGAGGATACAGGCACCATTATGAGGGAGGTGCGCGACTTGGAGGAGCAGGTGAGTTTGGTGGGGAAGCACATCCCTTTCGGTCAGAGTCATACAGCATGGAAACAGACCCTTCGGCCCAACCCGTCCATGCTGGCCGTAATCCCAAACTAACCTAGACCCACACCTGCCTGCTCCTGGCCCATATCCCTCCAAACCTTTCCCATTCATGTACTTATCCAAATGTCTTTTAAACGTTGTAACTGTACCCACATCCACCACTTCTTCTGGAAGCTCATTCCCCACATGGACCCCTCTCTCTGTGTAAAAGAAATTGACCCTCGTGTCTTTTCTTAAAAATCTTTCTCCTCCCACCTTAAAAATATGCCCCCAAGTCTTGAAATTCCCCCACCCTTGGGGAGAAAACACCCACCATTCACCTTATCTATGCCCCTCACGATTTTATAAACCCCTATAAGGTCACCCCCTCAGCCGCCAGTGAAAAAAGTCCCAGCCTCTCCTTATAACTCAAACCCTCCATTCCCGGCAACGTCCTGGTAAATCTCTCCCCCCCAACCCTCTTCAGTTCAGATCATGGAATCCCTAGAGTGTGGAAACAGGCCCTTCGGCCCAACAAGTCCACACCGACCCTCGGAGCATCCCACCCAGACCCATTCCCCCTATAACCCACCTAATCTACACATCCCTGGGCATTATGGGACAACTTAGCATGGCCAATCCCACCCTAACCCGCACATCCCTGGGCACT